CAATTAGGAATTCTACCTCTCTCTGGTCAAATTAGTGAGGTCAAGTGTGGACACCTGGAGATTTCGGACATTTTGTTAAATTGGGGAGTTTTAGGGAACAGTCGGAATGCTTGTTCCAGGAACAAAGATTTTGTTGATAGTGCTCTGGATCTTGAAACGTTGTAATGGCGAACACCGGCAACTACTTACTAGTTTAAAAGCATACCTTCTTCCTAATAATAATACCCAAATGTAGCTGAAGTTTTCATATAGTTATCTTTGCAGATCTATAACCTTCTTAAACATCAGTAATTTTGCATAATTCATGCAGTTCATGACGCACCTCAGCGACATCGAAGGCTCTACATTTTTAGCCCTGATGAATCATTATGAACCGATGGACTGGTTTTCCAAACATCAGTTCGGCCTAAATACTTCGAATTAATTAAAAAACCACAGAAGGCATTAACTAATAAGTGATAAATAATAAATACGAGTGTTTGCTAACCTTTTGCAAGTAACACTGCTCTGAAGTTTAAGAATTCGGCTCCACCAGTGGGAATCCGTCTCCAATTCGTTCATTCTTCTCGATAAGGGGTACCTGCAATTGTATCAGGAAGACAATCCGCCGTCAGCTTGCTTCGAACCAATCCCCTAGAAAGGGCCATTGGCAACTTTGCCAACGGGTGTTTGCTGCTTATATGTAGGCCGGTTATTATCGAGTACCTCTGCTCCTTACAGAGAGTGAGTTATAAAGCTTTTGATTTTTGACTTAGTTCAATATCGAAATTGAAAGGATGAAGGCGTACGTTTGCCATTTTGTTGTTGTTACGCATCATCCGTCTATCTTAACTTCAGTCCGTCAATTTTTTTGCGTTTTTGCATATATGCAAATTGCAAAAACGCATATTGGGATGAGGTTGTGTGTGTCTGTGTGTTCTCACTTTTTTCACCTACTTTCAACTCGAAAACCAGAAAAGCTAGAAGGCTGAAACTTTGAGAGCATGTGCCCATACTGTGCGCGACCCTCCCGTTTTAATATCATCTCCCGCAGACGCCTGGGTGTCGCGTGCGGACGCTTTAAAAAAATTTGCAAATTTCTTGGCGGGAAAACGATCTCGGGAACCAGACAAGACTTGTAGGGATATTCCCTGTGCATGTGTTAGCTAAGGATTTCAGATTCAGTCCCCAGGTATGCATGGTACTCACGTAAGGACGTATGAAAGTTGTGGCGGGAAAATTGCTAACTCGGGAACCAGGAAAGCTAGGAAGCTGGAAAATAGGCGAATGTTTTCAGTTCAAGTACAACTTAAGATTTCAAATTCGGCTTTGAGGTATGCGTGGTTCTTACACACGGTTACTTAAAAATTTTGGTGGAAAAATTTCTCACTGAACAGTCAGGTTACTTTTAAAGAGTGACCGTTAAATGGAAATTGTACATTTACTTTATGCAAAATTTATGGTGATTTACGCTAGTGACCGCAAAAGGTAGGTGTAAAGTAACAACTATTCATGCAGTTAATGACCTGAGTACTTCAAGTCCGGTGCAAAAACGAATGATCGGAAGGATCCGCTTTGGGTTTCCGATTCTGTAATGATCGATTTGCATGCGTATTTTGTATATCCACAAGAATTAATCATTCAAACGAAAGAAATTCTTAATTCAATGTGGCGAAAAAAAAAAACATGTTGGATATCACATCCCCTTCAGCTTGATGCCCTTGCTATGCTAGTAATTTAAGAGCATTGCATTGATTCGTTTCTTGAGGGTTTATATTAAAAATAGCGTAGAGTGCGTTTGACTAATACCAATAATTGTCATTTCTCAAGTTTTCTGCGCACCATTGGTCGCTGTTGCGTACTTTTTTTCTACTATTTTCAAATCTAAACTCTTTTTACTTCTTGAAATTATAACCTACTCTCTTACAACTAAGTGAAAACAATAACAAGTTTACTCATTTATTTCATTAATACTACAATTGTCTTACTTGTGAGAACCAGCCGTGGTGCTGAATAGGTATGTCTACAAATTGATAAGGCGAAACATTCCGTTAATTCCATTTTTTCAGCATAATTTTACACTTTTACTATATAATTGATATTTTTATTGCTCAAGACAGCCAAGTAGAACAAAAACAGTAGAGAAGTTGTGCTTCTGTTGTATAATTCTGTTACAGTCTTGAAAAAGGGAACGAGTGGAAAAGGGAAGGATTGAAAAGGAAAACCCTCTTCTGCTTTTTCAACGAAGCTGAGCAACGCATTTCGCTGTTCCTGAAAAAGTATGTTGATTGTCAATGTTGAATTTGAAGTGAAAAAGATTGTAATAAGTTTTAGGAAGGGTGACAGATCTTGACAAAACCAGCAGTTCTTATCGAAATGTTTCACCACTTCGAAAATATCAGGAAACAATTACTCGCCCATGCACGGTTTTTCCCGGAAATTTTCTATCTTCCCAAAAAAATTCTGGCTGTGCCGTCGGGCGTGTGTTGTCCGTGTGTTTGTTTACTTGTGTTTTTACATTTACGTGTTTTTATATTTGTGTGTCTGTTTGCATATTTTGTGTGTGTGTGTGTGTGTGTGTGTGTGTCCATGCTCTTTCTTCTCTAGCCTAGGTCATTTTCCCGATCGTTCCCGTTGACTGAATTAGATTAAACTCATTGCATTAATTTGCATTGTCACAAAACTATCCTAAATTCTGATGCTGTTAGGTACATATTTCCTCGTTTTTATTGAAGCATTCGACAGTTACCGTATTTGTTCATCGAGTTAGAGCTAGAGCCTATTTATAGAGCACCAGGGCAACTAAAATCTGTCCATGCAAACTTCGCTCTACGCCTGCAGACGGAGAGAGAGCCGAGGGATGGATGGGCAAGAGATGCTAGGCAGTGCTACTTCTCGGACTTTTGGAGCAGCAAACTCCACCTCCGCTGCTTTTGAAGGGAACTTATGCGATTAGCGCACGCCCATTTGCAAGAGGAGGAACAATTCGGTGAGGCTTCAATAGTCCTCGGACTTCCTCGTCCAAATGTGCGGACCGAGGAAGGACGGTCTGCTTCATCCTCATTTATGATCGAACCAGATGTTCGCCTTTTAAAAGCGAGCAGTTGGACATGAAACTTTGTGGTCTGCTCCCTCCCCCCTTTCGCCCTCCTCACTGGCGGTGTATGGTACTCCGCGTGGCCTCGACTGTTCCTTCGTTCCTTTGCAAAAGGAATGGCGCACAAGTTCTTTTTACACTGTTTCTATCAAATTTTGTATTTTTATTATGCGGGTATAAAAAAATCTTTGAAAATACCGTTTTTCTCATTGTTTTTGCCCCACGCAAGCGCTTTCGCCAACAATCGCTTGTACGATTCGTATCGGTATTGCCATGTTGTCTTTCCGGATTCTTTTACTTCCATACTCCCTTTTCAAACCGTTTTTCAACAGTTCGAACAGTTTTTGACTTCCCACTTCCCTCGTGCAAAAATCGAGTGATCCGTTGCAGAATGCAGATATGTTCGGCGAGTAACATTGAGGGGAAAAAAGTGGTAGGGAGTTGTGTGTTGTTTGTCGTTTTATGCCTTTTGCGGAAAGATTTCAGATCGGAAAACAAGCAGAATTTTTTAGGAATGACAGCAACACGGGATCTTTTATTTGCAGCAATGGCAAAATTACGCCATGCAAATATTGCTGTAACAGATCTGCACCAAAATCCACCTCTTTCCCCACGGGAAACTGCGGTTTCGTCGCCCTTTCGCTATCCGGAATCAAAATTGCACATCGAACGGTGTGAGATAGAACCGGTACTGCAAACGGAACAGGAACTGGAAACAGCGGTACCGAACTGCAAGTCTGCAGAAGTGGTCCGCGCTTCACGTGAGATGTCTGTAGGTAGCGACGGGCTGGATCCAGTATCAGTGGTACCAAATGGTGGCTACGGTCGCCTGGCGGCTGATAGCTCCGCTTCTACCGCAAGTGGAAAACGACGGAGAAAACCGGATAGTACGTTTTTCAAAAAAATTTTCTTCCGTTTTCTAAAATTAGGCTTTATTGATAAGCCCGTAGGCCACAACAGTATTTCGGTTCTACCCGCTGCTGGTGGCATCGGACTGAGATGACAAATATCTTTTTCTTATGGTCTTGCCTAGTTTTCCAGGAGCTTACGCTTTGCATAGTCAGTAAATTAATTGCACTGCGACCACAGACCCGATTGTACTGGACTGGTCACAACAAACCCCTCTCCCATCCAGGCGCATTAGTCGCTGCTGTTGATTCATGAACCTCAAACTTGCACTATTTCATAACACATGAAATTTGGCTGGTCAAAATACTTTTCCTTTATAACACCGGATTTCCTTTTGATGTAGGATAATGTTGTCTGTGGCTACACTGTTGCACATGTGATGCAGCATCATCGAGTGTTCCTTACTGGTAACACCCATTATTGTATCGACAAATTTGTAGTCTATGAACATTTGTTTCATAAAAACAATGGAACTTTTCAAATTTTTCTGGAATTTAGTGAAGGTTGTGCTAACGAATAGAGTTGGATTGATTTTATTAGCTTGGGAATTCGCAGCGCCGCCGCACTTAACAATACTTTTTGTTTACATTTATGGAAGCAAAAATGCATTAAGGCAGAACATACCTGTCTGTATTTCTTTGTTCCGCATGTAGTCTATCCGTAACGCAACTCTTGATCAAAGAAATATAGGAAGTTGAAACTTTGAGAACATAATTCTCGGTTTGTGCGATTTCATAGATGTGGAATCGTCTCACATTACTATCTGCAGCCTGTAAGCGGAGATTCAAATCGAGCGTATTTTTTAAATTCGGAATTAAGAAAGCTGCAAGTGTGAGTTTCTAGGCGACCAATTTTTTTAACCCAGGGCGACTGAAGTCAGATTACAGTTGCACTGTAACTTGACCTATCGGTCTCAGTTCCAGGTTTCCGACAATTTTATAAGGGAAGAAGCCATAGATTTCTATGGTATAGCCAAAAATTCCAGCAAATAAGTGTTTTGAGGCAAATACCTCGAAATCCGCGACCAGGCTGTTCTGCATTCTGACATGTAATCAGTCTTAAGCTGAAAATTCGTCAATTAAAAGTCAGAAAAACCACAAGCAAGTAATTTTAGCAGATGATTCACCAATTATAGTTCGGAGGCAAAAGACATAGAATCAATTCGCAAAATTTGAATTATCCCGGCTCTAGTCTCAAATCCAGATTTATACTAACTCTGTAACTTCTAAACTGTGCAGCTTTCAATTCTCACAACAGATTATAGCAAAATCGGATGATCAGACTGGTCTCCTGGTGTTTACCGCTGCCCAAGCTAGGTGGTCAAGTGGACAGATCGTTAATAAATAAAAATAAGGCTGCTTGAATTGCATGAATTATATTCGTGTATGCACATCATCACACCATGAATAAGTTTCATTGAATTAGGTCCTTCTCTCTTCATGAATTGAGTAGCTTCTTCAGATGTTCACACTCACAGGCTTCAGAGGAAAATTCTCATCCACACTAGCTCTTACTGACGCATAATTTGAATGTTTACAATTCCCAAGCTTTCTTCAAGTTACGCATAATGACCGTGGGCCTTGCAAATAACTCTTGGCCAATTATGCTTTTGTTCTTCGGCATAAATCTCTGCGATGTCAATTAATGAGGAAGTGGTAATGGTAGTAGATGCAGGAAGCAGGTGTTACAGTTGTGGTTTGGCCTTTTGCGTATGAAATTTATTTACCGGATAACG